AGGATCTTGACTAAAAAAAGTTTTAAAAATTGTTTTTGAATTTAAATAAAGTTAGTTGAATTTCAAAAAAAAAAAGCAAGTGCAAAAGTCAATATTTTAAATTTTGACTTTTGCACCTACTTTCCCAACTTATCTCTGCTTAAACAATTTTTGCTTGTTTTTGACTTCAGTTTAGCTGCACATACTCTAGAAAGTGTTGGGGAATGACTGCAGGCTTGGTTAGGGTCCCAATCTTTTTTCAAGAATTTTCTTATGGCAACTGTCATATTTCAATTACATTGCTATTTAACTGTTTTTATTTTCTACCATCAAGTCTTAAGCTCCTTGAGAGAAATAACTAGTTTGTATTCATCACAGTCTCCTGCAACCCTGACATTTGATAGAAAGAATTAGAGGAATAAATTGTTACACTGATAGAATTTTTTTTAAAGTCTTTTTCAGAAAAAGTTATTCTGTTGTGGTAGCCATGGAGATGCAACACTTTGGAGTTCTTTTCAAGAGAGAAATTCCTGATTAACTGAGAAGAATGCCGTTTGCTGACTGGCTCCATCCTAAGCTGCAGTTTATGAGCTGAAAACAATTCCTTTATTCTCAGGCTCCAATCAAGTATTGGCTGCATGATGGGCAAACTATTGCAATATGAGTATCTTTTAATGGACCATCTTTGATCTAGAACTCACACTGGGTTATCTGACACTCTTTCACATCTGAGTCATGGTATAAAGCCCTGCCCACTCCTGCTCCATTTCCCCTTGCTTACACAGGTGTCCAAGTGGATAGAAGGTTTATCCTGCTGAATTCTGCTTCCTTCCCTATATATCTTTCACTAGTGTTATTCCCCAATAAATTGTTCAACCTTCTACCTCCTAGTCAGTATCTGCTCCCTGTCTGACCAACTGTCACAACTACTTATGTAAAAGAAAATTTGAAAATCTGAATCACACAAAAACACAAGCATTTTTAAACCTGAAATGAATTCAGATGGTTGCTAAATGCTCAGTTTTGGATTGATAACCACCATTCACTTGTCACTCCTTAGTGAGCTTTGTGCTTAAAGCTTCAAAGTTTTTTTTCCTATTTATTTTCTTTAATAGTGATTTTTCTAGTAGATGTAACAGTTATTTCCACTCTTTATTTAAGAACAACATTTTTATTATGTTAGCATGAATGTGTTGTTATGTTGTTCTAACTCTAATCTTATATCTCTTCTGTAAAATATGTGTAGTGTCACTTTAAACTTATCTTTTAATTTTTCAGTACCATTAACAATTGTTCTATTATTATAGCTGTAATTCTTGTATTCCTATTTTGCAGACAATTTCACTATACAGGTCAAAACTTAGTCCCTAACTGTATTCTCTATAACTGGATTTATTCTTATTGCAAACTCAAAAAGTGAAAGTTCTAAAGCACGAGTCACTAAACTCTTTAAGATACAGTGATTTTGGAGACAAAAACCAACGCAAATCAAATCGACTATTGCTAAGGAATTGTTTAGCATACCATAAAGGTCTTTTGTAATTTGAAGATGTAGCATCTGTTCTGTTTTTCTTTCTCTTCTCACTCTCTTCTCTTTGCCTTTTTCCTCCTTGAAAAATTTAGTTTGATAATTATTAAGTTAGAGTTTCACATGAGGAACGGTGGAAAGATGTCCACATGGTGGGAGGTAGGATGTGATGCTGAACTGGTACAGAGTTTCAAGGTCTGACTCTAGAGAGATGTCATTCGTGTTTTTAGTTTAAAGCAAATGAAATGTAGTATGGAGTTTATTTAGAAAACAGTATATTAAAATAATATTTTGTAGTTCCAAGAAATTGTGGGTGAAGTTGAAAATGTTCAGATCTAAGTAGTAATGAACAAAGACAAAAATGATGCCACAGTACTGTTCCCATTGCAGATACCTTCACTGCATCTGCTGAGTATAAACACCCTGTTTGCAGCATTAACCTCAGTGACACTTGACAACGGAGATGATGCCACAGTACTGTTCCCATTGCAGATACCTTCACTGCATCTGCTGAGTGTAAACACCCTGTTTGCAGCATTAACCTCAGTGACACTTGACAACGGAGATGCTGCCACAGTACTGTTCCCGTTGCAGATACCCTCACTGCATCTGCTGAGTATAAACACCCTGTTTGCAGCATTAACCTCAGTGACACTTGACAACGGAGATGCTGCCACAGTACTGTTCCCGTTGCAGATACCCTCACTGCATCTGCTGAGTATAAACACCCTGTTTGCAGCATTAACCTCAGTGACACTTGACAACGGAGATGCTGCCACAGTACTGTTCCCGTTGCAGATACCCTCACTGCATCTGCTGAGTATAAACACCCTGTTTGCAGCATTAACCTCAGTGACACTTGACAGTGGAGATGCTGCTAGCATATCAGAAGTGATTCTGGTAAAGTTTCTGTTTACTTGTGTCTCTAATTTCTGATACAACATCTGCTTATAGAGAACTTGTCTAACTTGTAGTGCTTGCATGTTTCATTAATTTGAGGGAAATTAGACCTAAGATACTGGCCAATCCATGTAGATTGCACACCATATAGAAGAGGGGTTCCCAAAAGGTAATAAGAAGTTGTTTCAAGGATGCTGTATAGTCATAAAAGACAGATATGCATAGGAAGGAATTTCATTTTTAATTTTTAAATTCTTTAAGTTTACATACACACACACACATGTACACATGCACATAATGGGAACGCAATTTATCTTTGTGTGTGTGTGTGTGTGTGTGTGTGTGTGAATGCATAAAGAGAATAAACGAACATTGAAAATATTTCATCACAGTGATAAATTAATACAAATAAAACAACACTGGGCATAGATCTCCTCTAAATAACACCTCCCAAGTAGCATTTCCACATGCTGACTCTAACAGAGAGAGTAAAGAGAAACAAAAGCAATTATGCAATTCAGTTACTTTTCACTCGTGAAAACATAAAGGCAAAAACTTAAATCTGTACAATAATTTAAAAGCAAGATTTGTCAATATAACAAATTCTTGACCAAAAAATTAAAATTCAAGGAATTTATTTTCAAAAAATTGAGTGTGTATGCATACGTTTTGAGAAAAACATTTTCATCTGTACCAGAATTGGTTTTTATAGAAAATATTTAAATAGGACAAATACAAGTTTATTTTTAAATTTTTATTATTTTTTTTTGAGACAGAGTTTCACTCTGTCACCCAGGCTAGAGAGTGCAGTGGTGTTATCATGGCTCACTGTAGCCTCTGCCTCCTGGGTTCAAGTGATTCTAATGCCTCAGCCTCCAGTAGCTGGGATTACAGGCACATGCCACCACACCCAGCTAATTTTTGTATTCACCATGTTTTCCAGGCTGATCTCAAACTCCTGACCTCAAGTAATCCATCCACCATGGCCTGCCAAAGTGCTGGAATTACAGGCATTAACCATCCTGCCCAGCAACAAATAAGATTTTAAGTATATTGCTGTGATAAAATAAAATAAAATACAACTACTAATATAATGTATATATTCATAAAGGACCCCCCAAATGTTCACAATTTCATTCTTAGTAGATGCAAAACTGCAAATAACTCAAAAGGATTACAAATTGTGGTATGTATATATATATATATATATATATATGTAGTAAAATATTACTCAACAATAAGGAGTTCAAAACCAGCCTAGCCAACATGGTGAAACCCCCTCTCTACTAAAAACACAAAAATTAGGCAGTCATGGTGATAGGTACCTGTAGTCCCAGCAACTTGGGAGGCTGAGACAGGAGAACTGCTTGAACCTGGAAGGCGGAGGTTGCAGTGAGCCCAGATCATGCCACTGTACTCCAGCCTAGACGACACAGCAAGACTCCATCTCAAAAAAATAAAGAAAAACAAAAAAAGAAAAAGCTGAAAACTGGTTATCAAGCTAACTTCCTCAAACAGATCTTAATACTCAATAGATAAAAAGGTGGCTAGATGTGCCTGACCCTCTTAGACTAGAGAAGTTCTGCTTTAGATTTCATTGACTTTCTAGATTCAGATTTTGTGAAAGATTTCCTTTAACAAAGAATCAGCATCTAAAAACTAAAACTCTGATTCAAAAAAAAAAAAAAACAAAACAAAACCACACTGGCCTAAATATATTTAGGGCATGCCACCTTAAAGCAAACATTTAGAAATAGTCAAGATCTTTTCTAAAATCCAAATGCAATCGTTAGTAGCAACCCCTGGCTGCTTCTGTGTGCCCAGCACCGTGCTAAGCACAATACAGACATTAGTCTATTTCATCATGATAAGCTATCATGTTACTGAAGAGAAAACCGAGGTTTAGAGAGTTTAAGTTACTTGTCCAGGACCACCGAGCTAGTAAGCTGTGAAACCAAGATTAACCCAAGCAGCCTCATCTCCACACCCACAGTCTGAACCATTCTGCTATCCTGACTCTAAACCACTTAATGATTTCAATCCAGTCTTTAAGTCTCTGTCAGAGAGAGTGAGAGAGATTTTTAACAACTTGCTAGTTGTCTTCCTTAAAAAGGCAGCGGAACAGACAAAAGCCAAAAGCAATATGTTATATAATAAAGAATTCGGTTGATTCTTTTCCCTGGTTCCTAGAAGAAGCCTCTAAATCCTTAGAATTTCCAGTGACAGGAGTGTCTTTGTTATTCATGGTAGGCCCTGAAGGTTTAGGCTAAAGGTGGTAACTTCTGGTCCCTGTAATAGCTTAAGCTAATGAGATTATTCAGGATGGGGGCTGGTCATGCCGGAAGACCAACCATGTGATTAGCGAATTGAGGTTTTGAGCTGTGTAATATCAGCCTGACCTCCAAGGAAGAGGGCTGGATATTGTGTTCAATATTTTGACCAATAATTCAATCAATCATACCTATGTGATGAAGCCAGAATCAAAACTCTAGACAGATGTTTAGGTGAGCTCCTGATTGGCAGTATTCCATGTGTATTGTTACGCATTCATGTGCTAAGAGAGTGATGTACTCTGACTCCATGGATTTGGGTTTGGGAAGTTCTTTGTCTTGGGGGCACTCCCTGACCTCACACTATGCATCTACTCTTTTGGCTAATTCCGACTTATAAACTTTTGCTCTAATAAAACTGTAATCTGGGGGGGAAAAAAGCTAAACATGAAAGAATAAATCCTCTATAATTTTATTTGAATAAAGTTCCAGAACAGACAAAAGTAATCTGGAGTGATAGAAATCAGATCAGTTGTTGCTTGAGTTAGGAGAAGCAGGGAAGCAGATGGGTGCAGTCAGACATATTATCTGCAAACAGCAGGAAGTACTTTCAAGGGAGATGGTAAGTTCTTTATCTTGACTCGGTGCTATGTATGTGGATACTACATACATCTGTATTTAAGTTTTTTTAAAAAAGAATAGGAAGCAGAAAACCCTTTGAGATGATGGCTTTATTTATAGCATGGGTTATGGTTATGATTTCGCATGTACAGACTTAGCTCCAAACTTACCAAGTTGTAAACATTAAAAATGTGCAGCTTTTTGTATGTCAGTCATACTTCAATAAAATGGTTTTAAAATGCACAGGTATCAAGCAAAATTCATGAAATAAATGTCTTTATGACTCAAAAAACAATGCTTTAGAGACAAGTTTATGATGTAAGAATATTCATGATACATTAAACTAAAAAGGTTTTATACAACTGTGTAATGCTGCAAAAAGTATGTGTGTATGTGTTTATGGTAGGTATGTGTACGTGTGTAAAGAAACTGTCAGAAACACATCAACTACTGTTTTTGTATGTTTATATTGATTTTTAAAAAATTGTATGTATTCACTTATTTTCCACAACTAATATTAAAATTTAAAATGCAAGCATAATAAATTATTTACAAATGGACCATAGCTAAGCCAGAAGCAATGGAAGTGAACTCTCTGTACCTGAATGTATACACATCTGCACTGCAACCACAAACAATTTCCCAAATTCTACTTTCTGTATTTGTCTCTTACCCAACTCTAATCTGATATAATTTATTATGTCACAGTATAGTTTGTTGAACATTTATTATTCTTGTATTTTCTATTTTTTCCATGTGTTATGTTAGCCCTGCATGATAAGGAAAAATAAAAATTCTATTCATTTTATATCCTGGTGACTAATATAAAGTTAAAATAAAATTGCTGATTATTAAATGGATCTATGAGTTCTCTAGGGGCAGAAAATATACTGGCCAATGATGCCTATATGTCCAGAACTAAAGAACTCCTGTAGACTGGCTACAATGGACCAAAAACAATTAAAACAGAAATAAATGTTTGTAGATATTATTTTAACAACTTCTTCCCCATCTTATTTAAAATTTGGATTTAATATCAGGTAAAAGAGTTTAGTAAATTTTTTTCCTCAATTCATAGCATTTTAAAAATATCATTAGTCCAGCACAGGACATTTTATATTTATGTTAAATTTTCTCATGTCCTTTCATCATCACTCCTATTTTCTACCCTCCTGTAAGAACTATAGTGTATAGTTTTATACAGGTACTTAAGTATATGCATTGTGCATTCATGGAATAAATGCTTTAATTTATATAAAGACTATTAGTATTCTCTTCCTATTACTCAAAATTATTTGTGCATTCTTGTAGGTTTTGGGAGACTTTCTTTGGCAAATTGCTGAACCACAGAGCAAAAACGCACTTAATTTCAATAAATAATTCCAGACTGCTTTCTACAATAGCTTTAACAATTAATATTCCTGAGAGTAGAGTCCAAAGTTTCCCTCCCCTGACATCCTTTCCAATGGTCGGTATCATACTCCAATGTGGTATTTCGTTATTCTGATGTGTAACGTGGTATCCTTCTTGTACCATAGGTGGAAAATAAATCTTTATTATTTTAAGCTGTTGAGAATTGTGGATCCTTCATTAATAAAGCCTAAGCTGTACTGCTTCATTCAATTCCTATTCATGTTTTCACTCTGCTGAATATTTAGGGCCACATCAGTTGGGGGTCCCTGAGGTTAAGCTTGGGGTTTTACTTTGACTTTTTTTTTGAGATGGAGTTTCACTTGTTACCCAGGCTGGAGTGCAGTGGCATGATCTCAGCTCACCACAACCTCTGCCTCCTGGGTTCAAGCAATTCTCCTGCCTCAGCCTCCTGAGTAGCTGGGATTACTTTGACTATTTAGATACTGAAAGCACATTTGTTTGTTACCACCTTACCAGCTATTTATGCTGGAAAGTTAAAAGGAGGCTGGAGTACAACACCAGCCAATGGTAAGCATATAAAATGTTCATTATTCTATGTAATCCCCGCAATTATTTATGATGGATCGTGATTTTGAAGTTGTTCAACTATGACAGCTGCTGCTATATGACATGTCTCTTATTCTCTATTGAAATCATTATATAAAATTTAGCCACCGTGTTTTGTATAAAATGTTCAATTCTTATGTCTGTAATAGCTGATTTAGGTAGATGGGAAGCTTGATTAAAGCAGCAGCAATCAAAGTATTAGTCAAGGTAGTAAAATTAACCACTGTCCTTAGGCAGTTGCAGAAATACTTGCAATCTAGTATACTCCGCCATTTGGAATTAAGTAAGAGCAGGGATATGGTGTCACAATTTCAATAAATCATTACATTTAATTAAACATAGCAATAGAGGAGCTACACTCTTAATTAGGTTTTATACTTATAAGTATTTTAGAAACAATACAAAGTCATCAATTTGTTTGCCAGAAAGAATAGAAAGTGAAAATACACTCAGTAAACTTCTGATTTTTCACCCTTTGTTTTATAGTTATCACAGCATTTACATGGAAGTAAAACTCCATAGTGTTTTATTCTCCAATGATAGTTAGATTATCACTGACATTTTCTTCTTTCTTGGCTTTCCCAGTTGGACAATAGAAATCATGGATCCCTATTGTATGGCTAACTGTAAAAGAATATATTCATTGTAAAAGGGTAAGGTCCAGGACTGTCTTTTGATGACAAGACACAGGAACACAATCTGAACCAGTTTAGGCAACACAGAGAATCATAGCAGGGGATAAAGAAACTTTAGTGATTGTTAAAAACAGAATAAAATGCAATTAGAATTCTATAAATTTGTCTCACATTTGTCCTAAATTCTCTATGCTAATTCCCTCGCCAAAAATTTCTTCATGAGACTATAAGCATAAACTCTGCATATTTCTAGTTTTGATGCAGAAATTCAAAAACTTGGTTTCTCCTAGTTCCAATTTTAAAATTCTATGACCACCCAAAACAGCCTGGTGTGAATTACATAATCATCACCATGACAAGGGGCTGGGCAGTATACTTTACTTACAATCCTCGTTAAAATATTTGACTCTAAGGAAAAAAAGCACCTGCAAATAAATGTGCAGAGGTGAGGGGATGGAGGCGAAGGGAATGGATTACATATATGTGATTTTTCTAAATTTAAAAGTTGAATATTATTAATGGATTAAACTTTGCTATAGGTAAGGCATAGCAAGTAAGCAAGTAAGTCAACAATAGCAAGCAAAACACTGAAATAATCAGTGAGCCCCTGGTCCCTTGAATGCCCCTCCAAAGCATAAAACAAAAAATAAAAATATTAACTACAAAATACTTATATAAATTACCCAGAGCTGGTAAAAGACCCTAGAATGTCTATATCTTCCAGAATTATCACAAAGAATTTGGGGAAAGAAAACAGACCATACTACTTCAGAGGTGGAGAAAAATTCTGCAAATTTTTTAATTATAAAGGACAGCTAAGGGCAGGTGTGATGGCTCACACCTGTAATCCCAGCACTTGGGGAGTATGAGACAGGCAAATTGCTCGAGCTCCAGAGTTTGAGACCAGCCTAGGCAACATGGCAAAACCCCATCTCTACCAAAAAAAAAAAAAAAAAAAAAGGGAGACACAACATGGACCAGGTGAGCTCATGTCCAGCTAAGAGAAGTTGGATGTCCCAGCTCAAAGAGTGAAAGTAAATTTGCCTTTTCTCTGCCTTTTTTTTAATTTACAAAAATTGTATATATTGTCATGTACAAAATGTTGTTTTGAAATATGTATATGTTGTGGAATAGCTAAATTGAGCTAATTAACATATTCTCTACTGCACATATTCTTCATTTTTGTGCAGTGAGAGCACTTGAAAAATATCATCTTAGCAGTTTTTAATCATATAGTACATTTTATTAACTATAGTTGCACAATAGATTTCTGGAACGTATTTATTCTAACCTGAAAGTCTGTACCCTTTCACCATCATTTCAACTCCTTCATCCCCTACTCTTGGTAACCATCATTCTCCTACCTACTTCTATGAGTTCAGCATCAGAAAAGGAGTTCATTTCTAAAATATATAAGAATTCAAACAACTAATGATTAAGAAAATGTGTAACCCAATTGAAGAACGGGCAAAAGATCTGAACAGGCAGTTCTCAGAAGAAGATACAGAAGTACCAAAAAAGGTATATAAAGGAAACACTTAAAAAACTAATCATCAGAGATATCCAAATTAAAACTCCACAGAGTTATCACTTCTACATTTTTATCTATTTGGGCTTTCTCACTGTGGATGGCCATCTGCTTTAATCATTTCACCAATCCAAATGATAATCTCTTCTGGAAACATCCTTACAAAGACACACAGAAATAATGTTTTACCAGCTGCTTTGAAATCCCTTAGCCAAGTAATGTTGAAGTAAAATTAATCACACTCTACAATGGCAGAGTTGAGGAGTTACAACAGAGATTGCATGGCCCACAAAACTGAAAATGTTTCTCATCTGGTCCTTTATAGAAAAAGGTTTGGCAATTACCACCAAATGTGATTGTTTTATGTATTTTCTTTGCTCCCCAAATCTATGCTTCCTCTGATATTTTCTCTACTTTTTCATTGAGCAAATCAGTCTAACACACAAATATTCGCATCTTCCCATCACAAACTTCTTTCAATTTCCCCCTATTTTACTCATCTTCACTCAATTTAAAAAGAGGAAATACACTTTTTATACAAAAGGTTTATCATACTCTTAGTGCTTTGAGTCCCACTTTTTATTTCCTTCTTCAACAAATTGCTCCTTCAGTAATTCCTTCTCTCTCTTTGCATTACTCCTTGGTTTTCTAATCTTGGTTAATAAAAGTAGTAATAGTAAAAGGTGAAAGGGATTTTTTGTGTTTCCTGGACATAAACTCATCCTAGAAAACATTACCAGTTTCTCTAACTGTTCTTTTGCTGCTATGCTTCCAAGTTCCCAGAGATTTAATGAAGCCATAAACTCACAGGGGACGGATTGATACGTTTCATCAGAGTAAGCCAAAATCTGGTAAACT